AAAATATCCGAGCTTTTTTCCTGGCCCAAGCAAAAGCTCGGCAAAAAAAATTAGGCTCGACCCGAGTTTTCGGCTCGAGCCTTTTCAAGCCGAGCCGGCTCGAATTTTGTTAGGTTTTGGAATTTTTTTTATTAAAATGGCAGCAAGTTGCTGCCCTATTTTTGGTGCTGCCTTTTATTTTTGTTTTAATTTTTTTAAACATATGCTCCGTTCTCCTGAGCCGGCAAGCCACACGGGCCGGCTCAATCTTTGCCTGGCACCTAAAAATAAGGCTCGGCCCAAGCCTCGAGCCAGGCGAGCTCAAGCTTTTTCCAAGCCGAGCCATGGGCGGCCCGAGCTGACGATCCTGATTGCCATCCTTATCACTCCTTCATGCACTTTTTATTTTTTATTTTTTTTAATTATAGCAAATTTTTTATTAATATTTAATTTTAAAAAATTAAATATATCTAAATTTTTACTTAAAACTGTTGAAGTTAATATTTTTTTTTTAATTTATAAGTAACTTTTACAATTATAAATTTTTTTATTACTTTTAAATAACTTAAAGTGATTTTTTTACTTATAAGTAACTTTTTACATTCTAATGTAATCTTTTTATTAATATTTAATTTAAAAAAATTAAATATATGTAAATATTTACTTAAAAATCCATACATAGAGTAAATATTCACTCCGTCACAGAGAAAAAAAATTGACGTCTAGGAATTTTTTTTCTTATTTATTGATTTTGTAATTTGTTTTCTTGATATTATAGATAATTTTTTTTGCATTTAAAATTTTGATGAATTCTTTTCTCTTTATTTATGATTGAACTTAATTTTTGCAATTATTCTTTCTCTCCGTGAAAGAAGATTTTTTTTTAATTTCAAATTTTTTCAACATTAATTTTTTTATATTTAAATTTTTTTCTATTGGTGAAGATGGAAATTACTGCTTTTTTTGCACAAAGTTGGATTGTTCATTTTTGTCACGTGCGTTTTCACATTCAACTGGTTTGAAATGGAGTTGATCAAAGAGGTTTGGTTTTTTATTATATTATAAAAAATATAATATAATCTACCATCTATCACTTTTTCAACTCGCTCATTCTCCCTCCTTCAATTCAATCAATTAGCTTTCATGTACGAAAAAAAACTCTTCAAATTCTTGTTTTTTTGTGGGAAAAAAATATCGTGCAGTCCTCATCTTAATCATATGGAAGAAAGCCGTAGAGTTTGTGACGATTATCTTTGGGTATGTTCTTACAAAAAAAAAAATTTTGTTTGTATTTCCATTTTTTAGTTTTTTAAAATTTATTTAAGGTATGTAGTTTTTATTTTTGTGTATAGATGAAAATCTAGTTTTTCCTCGACCTAGATGTGAGGTATGTTCTTGTCTCTGTATATAAGTGAAAATTTAACTGGGGTTTTATTTTTTTCTTGGATATGGCGATGAAATTTATGTTTTTGTTTGATGTTTGCTTTCTTGTGGATTTATTTATTATTTTCTTCGACTTTATTTAATGTAATATATGTTTTTTTTTTTGTTGAGTGTGTAAAAGTTATTTAGGTTTTTCTTTCTTTACCCTTATCTACTTGAGAAGCTTAAATTTTTCAATCATTGTTTTTATATTTAATAAGGCTTACAAGAGTTTGCTTTAGGTATGTTTGTAGTCTTTTTGGTCCAATTACTAGTGTTTACAGTTTAGTTGTCGTTTGCTTTTGTAAAGATGATTGTTGATTTGCTCAGTGGTTCAAAGACATACTATCAACCATTTGTAGTTCCTTTAAGGAGAGAAAATATGCACAGCCTATAAAGAGAAAATAATTAAAAAGAAAAAGAAATTTATGATATGAACAAAACAAATTTAAAAAAATATAATGTAATTAATCAAAAAAATTAAACAAATTAAAGTTAAAAAAATGAAACAAAGAATATACTAATATTATTTGATTCAAATTAAAAAAATAAATTTTATCATAAAAAGAAAATAATTTAAAAAAATTTTAAATAAAAAAAATTATAATATAAACAAAACAAATTTAAATAAAAAATAAGAAAAAAAAAATACTCTCCATGGACAGAGAGAATCTCTCTATCCATGAAGAGCTTGTTTCTCCTTTCAAAAGGAGAATTCTCTCCTTTTGAAAGGAGTTTTTTCAATTTATGAAAATTTATTTTATTTATCTATTTAATTCTTAGAATTTTTGTTTATATTATAGATAAATTTTGTTCTATTTAAATTTTTTAAATTCTTTTCTCATTGAACTTTATTTTTTTAATTACTGCTTATCTCGTCTTCAAAGAACAAATTTTTTTTAATATAAATTTGTTCAATGTAAAATTATTTTAATTTTTTATTGGTGAAAATTATTTATTAATTTATTTTTAAATTTTTTTGTTCATATCATAGATAAATTTTCTATTTAAATTTTTTTCTCTTTATGATTGAACTTAATTTTTTCAATTACTGTTTTTCTCTCCTTCAAAGGAAAAATTTTCTTCTATTCAAAATTTTTTCAATATAAATTTTTTTGATTTAAAATTATTTCAATTTTTTACTGGGGGGAATTACTGCTTTTCTTTGCAAAAAACTGAACTATTCATTTTTGTCATTATTATATTGAATCATTCAATTTCAAAATTAGTATCACAAATAACTTACCTAAAATATTGGTTTTCTTTGCACAAAGCTGAACTGTTTTGTTCATATTGTAAAAAAAAAAAAAATTGATTTGAAAAAATGCTTTTTAATTCTTTTATTGTTATGATAAAACTTAATTTTTTTAATTTTAATTAAATAATATTTATATATTTTTTATTTTATTTTTATTATATTTTTAAAAAAATTTTTATTCGTATTATAAATAATTTTTTTGTTATTTAATTTGTAAAATCATTCATTTTGTTTTCTTTATCAATTGGATTTGCACATTTCTAATTAAATTTGACTAAAATTTCATAAAAACGGACAACCTCAAAATTTCTAAATTGGAGCTGAGAATGGAGTAAAAAATTCTACCATGCACTCTGTGTTCCACTCCGTGCAAGAAGTGAACGTGACTATTTTTTTTTTTAACAAAATAAATCTAAAACATTAAATGATTTATATTGAAAAATGAGATTTTTTGTCAAAAATCTGGGTAGGAGGAGTGCGTGTGATCTTTTTTCCTTTTTGTTTTTTTTATACATAATTGTAAGTTAAAAAGATTGCATTATATATTTACATCTTCCACATAATTTTGATTTTAAGATCAATAAATCATTCATCCATGGAAAAGAAAAGACCCAATAAATTTTAGAGAGAAGAAGAAATTACTGGTGATTTTTACGGTGAAATGGAGAATCAAAAAGGCAATAACGTGTAAAAATGAAGAAGCTATAAAAAAGATATACGCGAATTGAGTGTTGGGAATCTACTTATACATGCACAGCGGAATTTAAAATAATTTTCGATTCCCACCAAGAATCGACTTTGTGTTTATATAGAGATTGTGACAAGATTGTACCTTTTCCAGATCTGCAATCTTTTTGCTTTTCTTTTCGTTCCATCAACCTTGGTTCGCCACCACAGCTGTCCAATTATCCAGCCTCCAACGGTGATCAACACAGAGAATAAGATTGCAGCTTCTAGGGTTTTCTCTTGTGTCAGCAAGAATAATGAAAACCCATATGGACCTCAAACCCTAGTTATGTATTTATATAAACCCAAACAGGCTCGGCCCGGTCCGGTCCAATAATTAATTAATCCAATTAATTAATTTATCCAACGATTGTTAAATTAACCAATTGGCAATTTGCAATCTTCCAATTCTCTTTTGTGTGTGATCCATTAGGTTCCCGACCACGATACCTGACGACGTGAAATATTATTTTGATCTAATCAAAATTGATAAATTAAAACACCTTTTTAATTTATCGTCAATTCACATTCGTCGTCCCTGATTGACATCTAGCAATGTGTCAGGGCAATACATGTGACGGGAAATGTCACGTGGTATGACAAAACCAAATTCGTTCGTTTACCGTGAAACTATAATCTCTTCGTCAATATGATTCGATCAATTACGAGATATGGAGTTGTGTCAATCTCGATCATCGATCATATTTTTCACTCCACTATTAAGTCAATATAAATCGAAAACTCTTTTTCGACTTATGAGTACACCTTGGCCAAGGATTTCATCATTGATTTAATTGAATGAAACGCAGATCATAATCTCCTACTATCTAATAGTGACGAATCCTTTATTGATCAATCACAACCTTCATACGATTCTTGACGTACCCGAACGATGTCATATCAGTGGCTCTTTTCAGAGCAACATCCAATACCGCCAAAGTATGACTGTCCTCATATAAGGTACCATGACGACCTCAAGTCAAAGGACCAATTTCACTACCGAACGTTAGAAATTAACCACCGACACTCAGATAGTTATCCATGTGGAATCTCTCGACGGGTCTCCAATGTTTTGTTCTATAACAAAACATCCACATGTTCATTTAAGTGTCACCACACTTTAACTTGTGAGATCAGCTACTTACTTCACAAGTAAGAAATGCCACACGTGATGGTCTATCCGTAATAACGATATCCGTATCTCGTTATTATTTACGACCACGGATGATTTAAGATTCAATCAGATGTAATTTGTATCTCACAATCACAACTCATTGTGATTAACAAATTACAAATATTTGAATCTACGGACTCTATTATTTATTTAATTGTCTATTAATTAAATAATAGATTTGCCATTTAATTACATTAATTACATATAAAAGTATTTATGTCCAAAGTTGATTGGACTTATGGCGTAATACTTACATTGAGGAAGAGGGAAAATATCAAGGGAAATAGTTGAATAGAAAACAACGTTATTTTTGCTCACGAAAGAAAAAATTATTATGAGACAAAATGGAAGAATCAACTGATGTTGCCTCTATAGTGATTGCCTTTTTTATATAGTCTGGAAATAAATATAATTTTCGTTTTTTTTCCCCCCCTCTACAGAAATAAGAAATATGGAAAGGAAAAGAATCTCTCACCAAAACACAGCAGCAGATACAATGGAGCCTAGACAGAAAATCCACAAGGAAAAAATCAACTACAAACCGCATTGCTGAAATTTACTGTAATGGGGAAGGCAGAAGATGAGCAGCCTTTGCCTAGTACAACTCTTGATGCTCGAAGTGCAACTCCAGATGCAGGGAACAGTAATGGGTGCTGCTTGGGTGGCAGGAAGGTTGTCACTCTCAGATGTATATTTGTTTTGGTGCTCGGTGTAGCAGTACTTCTATCTTCTGTTTTTTGGCTTCCATTCTTCCACTTTCGGGGTCAAAACGATCTGGATCGGGATTATCCAGGTTGGTCTCACCATATTTTATATCTCATTTTATTTTTTAAACAGTTGGATAGTTGTTATGGCACGTAAGGATATTTGTGTGTGTATTGTGATGCTAGTTAATTATGTTTGAGCACTTCATATCTGGGTTTTGACTGGGGTTTGATATATTGTCGGTACTCTTTCGGGAGATTGAATATTTGAATTTTCATCAGTGATTGGATGCAATCTGATTTTTAGAGTTGGTAAACAATTTGGGTTGATTTTTCTTTTAAAGATTTTAGTCATAGTAGATAACAAATTTGAAAACTCACGAGGAAAATTTAGGTTTACATCACACATGTAATTGTACACAATTTATTAAAATGTTGCATACTGTATTTTGATGGGAGAGGAATGATCTAACGAGCACCGGTGCTCGTCTTATGCAGAGTCCAACTTATGCCAAGTACCGATGCATGTCATATTAATTTAGTGGTGGATAATAAATTTAATTCAAATGTTGAGACCCACCAAATCTTTAATGAATTAACATGATTTGTCATTGATGCTTAGTATAAGATGAGCACCGGCAGTTATTAGAACATCCCTTGTTGATGAGATTAGATCTATTTTCTTACGCCTCTAGCTCTTCATTTTGTTTGTTGTTTGGTTTGCTCTTTGATTAATGAAAATATAAACTAAATATATCACTGTTCTTTTTAAGATCAAATTTTACCATTGGAACGTATTCAACATTGTGTAGGAAACTTCTGTTTTCCTTTTTATCTTCTCAAATTGTGCAAAACTGAAAGTTTGCTCGAGTTTTCATTTTCCAATTTAAAGGATTAACTCTGTAGAGCTTAGGTTCTTTGAACTGTTAGACTAGGAGTAGTTTTATAGTTAATTGCGGGGATTCCTGGCACAATTAGTGTGTTTAATTAGCTTTTAATTGGTAGATTATATCCAAGATTTCTCAGGCTTTTAGCACAGCTCCTCGATATATTAGTTCTTGCCATGCAAGCTTCATTAAATTGGTGCTGTAGCATTTAATTGTTTTAAAGCATTGAAAGATATTGTAGAAGAACTATATATATATTAATTTATTTTCTTTCACGCAAACTATCTAAGTTAACTATTTCAGTTAAGTACTCGATGCCACGTCTTGAACATCAAGAGTTACAAGAAGCGAGGTGGCATGGAGCAGAACCTCATATGACATAATAGAACTGAAAAGACTAATCTTCTAATATTGACAATGTTGTAATTGGATTCATACTTATGACATACTAACAAGCTGTACGGGCTGGTATATATGGGAAAAAAACAATATATATATATTTACCTATTAAAAATTAAATGGGCTTGGAACTCTCCTCTAAGTCTACTACATACCTTTTCGGATAGAGAGCATGAAAATAAGTTTTGGCAGCTCTATTTATGAAGTGAACTTTGTAGAAATACAAGTGTCATTCTAGATTAGATTAAATTGGTGGAGAGAGTGCAAACCTAAAGGATCAGACAAAATGTTAAATAGTTCACATACTGTTGGACTCCCGTGGTCAAATAAGATATGAATGAGGTAAGATATGTCTATATATAGTGGAAAATTGTGCAGAAGGGATTGGGATGTATGTCATACTTTTCTTTGCTTGATCCTCTCTGCAAACATAGGCGATAGAAAGAAGGTTCAATCCTTCGCGAAACTTATTTATTTGAACTCGCCCAGTGAGATAAGAAATGATGAGGTAAAATGCACATAAATCAAGTAGAGAAGTCTAATAGATAAAGGCGGTTGGACTCTTCATCATATTTCACTTGTTCGGCTCTCTTAATTACATTATATACTAGTTTTCATGCTTGGGTTTGAAAGCTCTGGGCATTCTTTCTTGGCTATCCTAAACTTGTAAATCATTCTTTCAGATATGGGACCGAAGTATCATCATTTAGCCTCCATTGGGAAAGAATTTATAAATGATTTGATTTATAAATTCGTAAAAACGAGTGATGAACAAGTGGATAATGCTTGTGGGTCCATTGGAATGTGTTGTTGAAAATAAAGTTTGGTCAATTTGTAAATGATTTATTAATTTTCCAAACTGAGGCTCACTAAAATATTAAATATCTCAAAGTTGAGGATTAAGGGACATTTTACTATCTCCCCCACCAACCAACCCGCCTTACGTTCTAGGATTTAGCCTTTTTTTGTCATTTTGTTTTATTTTTTGTGCTCACAAGGTATGTTATGATGCTTTCACTATTTTTTCTCTTTGTAATATAAGGATGGCAAAAAAACCCATCTCGTCTTGAGTGGGGACAAAAAACTCCACCTTGACAGGTTGGTGGGGCGGTAGTCCCTACCCTATGAAAAAAAAAAAAATAAGTAAGTTAGTTTGAGATTTATTTGGTTTGGATTTTAAAATTTTGGATTTGAATTTTATTCTCCGGAGTCCTCGCCAAAAAAATAAATAAAATAAAATTAGTTTGAGCATTATTTGCTTAGGATTTTAAAATTTTGGATTTGTATTTTATTCTTTAATAATAGCACAACTCGAAATTTTGAAAATGAAAATATATAATAATAATAATAATAATAATAATAATAACAAATGGGGCAAGCGACCGCCCCCCACCGGGCTGGGGTGCCCCACTGCCATCTCTATTGTAATATAATTAGTAAATACTGAGTACTCTCTCATCATATTATTAACTTTATTATTTTTCTTTCTTCATTTATTGTAAACATCTCTCGATTATATTACTATAAGTGCATGTTTGTTATGTGATTGTACTTTAATCACTTTGGTTGAACATATTTTTTTATTCACACATTTCGTAGGATGCACTTATTATCTTCATAAGTTATAATCACTTAAATCAATCACCTACAAACATGAACTAAGTTTTATGAGTATTATATTTCATGGAAGCCCAGTTTAGCCATTCTATGTTTATAACTTATTTCGTAATGTAGGGACGGAGCAATTTTTAACAAGGCTTAATCGAGTATTGAGATGTTTTGAGGTGTAAGCCTCAAGATAGATTAATAAATAATTCAAGACATTATATAAGTTCAAAAATATGGTCATAATAAATCATAGACTGCAAAGTATCCATGATAAAACAAATTGATAAAATTAGAAGTTCTGCTTGCTAACAAAAATAAATCAGTAGAAGAAAAGAAAATAGCCCAAAAAACTAAGTCTAGTGAAATAGTGTGTGGAAAATGCAAGACAAAATATGCAAATAGATCAGCCATCTTGAGGCGTAAGTCTCGGTAAATTGTGGATTAAGTCTCACAAATGGCACTTAATGGGTGGGATTCAAGGCGTTTTATGAGAGCTTTACGTGAGGCGGGATTTGAGGCGTACACCTCAAATGTTTCTTTTAAACAATGAAAGTGTGGATAAAATTTAGGTTTGCATGTGTTAAAGCCCCCAGGTATCTTGAAGGAAAATTAAGAGAGAACCTTGGATACAGGCTAGCTCATTTGCACACTCTTAAAGTTCTTGACAGAATTAAAACCATATACGTTGAAAACATTCGACAATTTCTAGAAGCCATGTTTATAAGCTCTGAAAAACGTGATGTACAAATAACTACTTGCCAAAAGACTACATATGAGGACTTTAATACCACTAAAGAGTTCGAATTCATTACAAAAGCTCATAAGAAATCATAGAAATAGAATTAGGTGAATTCATAAAATACTCTCAATATGTGAAATGCAAAACATCAGTTTCTGATTATTCCATGCCTCAATTACTGCCTGGATTGTAGGAAAACTTGCAGAGTTGGCTGACGAATGTCAAACCAGAGAGAGTGGTGTGGAGTCTCTTAATGCATGATTTTTGGGGAATTATGTAAATCTGAAGAAGTGCCATGATTTATGCTATAAATTTGATCGTGCTAGTTGGCAGTTCTAATAGAGCATGAAAGCCAAGTAAGGCCACCCACGAGCAGTTTAGCTGAACTTCCAACAACAGCTTATGGTATTTGGATAGTCCAAATGTTTGTTGTTTTCTGATGTTAATTCTTGAATACTTTGTGCTTAAGACAAGTGACATACATGTGGCATTCTTTAATAATTTAAGCTTCTAGATCAAGTGGTTCAACAAACAACATTAATTAGAATCAAGAGGGCTACTTTTCTTTAAGATTGTCTTTATGAATTCTGTGTTGCAAATGCGGAAGGTTTCAAAAATGTAGTATAATTTTGTTTCATATTCTTTCAGGTCGTGATATAGTGGCAAGTTTTATTATTATGAAGCCAGCTTCTTTTCTTGACAACTATGTCATACAACTCGAAAATGATATTTTTGAAGAAATAAGTTTCCCCATGACAAAAGTATTGACAATTCTCCTTCCCTTCCTCAACCAATTTTAACTTGTGTTGAATCTTGCTCTCTTTCTTTACAATAGTAATATAGTTATCTTCTATGACAGGTGGAAATAATACATTTAGCACCAGCTGGATCAAACACAACAAATGTTGTATTTGCAGTTGAATCTGATGCAACAACCCGCAGTTTAATTAGAGCTTCTTTTGTCTCTTTGGTTACACGTATATCATACCTGCATTTGACTCCATCCTTGTTTGGGGATCCTTCTTTTTTTGAGGTTCTGAAGTTTAAAGGAGGGATTACTACCAGTCCTGATCAGAAGGCATTCCTTATGCAGAAAGTACAGATCCGTTTCAACTTCACTTTGGACTTTTCCATCGATCAATTGCTGGATAATTTTAACGAACTTACCAGCCAATTGAAGTCTGGCTTACATCTTGCTGCATATGAGGTCCGACAATAATATTCTTTCTCACCATGATGAGCGTTGTTTCATCATCACTTGAGGCATCTGTATGCTTTTTTATATTTGTTTACTAAGTCATCTTTGGCCAAGCTTGAAAGGCTTACTGTACAAAATCTTCTTTGGAAATATGAACATAATTCATGAACATCACTAATTTTGAAATTCTGTACGTGTGATTGATGATATACCCTTTCAGAGTTTGTGATGATTCCGTACAACTAATAAACTTCTTTCGCTTATTTTCTGCAATGCAGATCTTGTACATTAGCCTGACAAATCTGAAAGGTTCCACTGTGGCTCCACCCACTACGGTTGAGACGCAAGTTCTTTTGGCAGTGGGAATTAATCCCTCAAAATCAAGGTTAAAGCAGTTGGCTATAACCATCACCAATCCTCATTCCAAAAATCTTGGACTGAATAACACTGTATTTGGCCGGGTTAAGCAAGTTCGTCTTTCTTCTATGCCCCTCGTCACTGATACCTCACCATCACCATCTCCATCTCCATCTCCTGCTCCTCTGTCACCATCCAAACACCACCACCATGACGATGCTAGTCTTGCTCCCGGTATTTCACCTGCACCATCAATGGGCAAAAGTGGATCTGTAACTGGAAAAGGATCATTAGCGCCTGTGCCCGCGCCTGCACCTGCACCAGGGAATAGTCAAGTTGTGAAGCCTCCTGGTTGTCATTTTGGATACAAAAATAGGTTTCCCCGGAAACCCAATGAGCATTATTATAGTACACCTACAGCATCTCCAGTTTATGCACCACACGTTGCTCCTTCGCAACCGCCTCAGCAATCTAATCCTCATAAACCTGATTTGCCTCCACTTCCTGCTGCAAGCCCATTATCAAGTGTAGCTTATGATCATATTCACCCCCCGTCAAAGGATGATTATGCAGGGCCTCGAGATGTAATGCCATTAGTTTCACCCGCACTGTCTCCATGTGAGTATTTGTTTATTTGGATGTTTATGCTAGTATGGTCAAAGCTTACGCTTTTGTCTAATAACGACCCCAGAAAAATAATTCTTCATAATTGCTTTTATGCTTCAATCCATGTTAGCAGTAGCTTTCATAATGTTGTGATTTCTGAAAGATGTGGATTTTGAAGTTTTGAACCAGTATATTCCTTTTGCAGCCTCTGCAGGTACCTTTTCGTCTAATTTATGGGCCTTTCTGCTGTTTCTACTTTTAATGCATTTGTGGCAGCAGAGAATGTGAAACATTTGTGGTAATACTGTTCAAAAACTGTGAATTCAACTGAATTAAGCAGAGGAACGGTAGGAATTAAGAATTTTGTAAGTGGGAGCAATACTGAAAGGGCGCAACTCAAAAGTGAGTAAGAAAATATATACTGTCTTGGCCATGCAAATATTTGTTTGTATTTTCAGCGGCTAGAAGCATTCTGGCCAAAGTCACAGAGGTGACGGGCCTGTGATGACATGTTTCGCCGCTCCGTTGTGTATGTTATCTCTTCTACAAAAATCGGAGGGAAAATTGTAATACAGCAATTTTTTGTTTCTGTTCTCTTACAATTCCCATTATTATCCACACTAATTTGCATACCATTTCATTCTTAATTTTGAACATAATAGGCATGCTTGTTATGCTTGGCTGAACTGAAAATGGTTAAAGAAAGACATAATCAAATTTGTCTTAGTTGAAAGGGCATAGGAAAAACTTGTCCTTCTGTTGATGATTTAGTGTTAGTCTGGTCGGGTGGTAGCTTCCCAATAAGTTACTTTGTGATTTTCTATCAAATTTTTAGTGTCTTTGTAGCTGTTATATAGTGCCATTGTCAGTGGTCAAAGCTGCAATTTTTGAATAATACAAAAGGGCGTTTCGGTAAAATGGTTCCTATGAGGTCAATAATTGCCGCAAATGCAAAAATCCATTTGGCATACCAACGGTCAAAAGTTGGATTAAAATTGGAGCAAATCGTTACCAGACAAAGGCATGAGTCAACTTTTTCTAAAAGGTTTTTTAGTCAGACAAAATACTTTTTTAAAATTATTCGTATAGCTCGAAATCAGTTTTTTTAGTTTAGAAGCAACTTTTGATTTTTTGAAAGGTATTGCCAAACAGGCTGATAGTGATGGGAGCTCTCATTGGCAGTCTTATGAAGAAAGAAGATAATATTGGTATTTAAATGCCAAATTTGTGTTTAGGCATTTCTAGCTAGTACATAGAATATGTGGCCTAGCCTCCCAGGACATATCTCAGTGGTGTAAAGGATATGAGTGAGGTTATCTCACGCCTTGTTCACAGCCGCAGTGTGGGGGTTCGATTTCTGAGACATGGAATTGGACTCCTTGTAAGCGCAGTGTACATGCAACTTTTGTTCCCTGATCTGTTGGGGCACATTCTGTAATTTACCTCCCTCACAAAACTCTAGGGGCGGGACGGTGAGGACTTTCAAAGTTGGTGTTCAACCTTTTTTTTTATAATATGTGGCCTAACATGATTTGTGCCACTAGCAACTAATAATTAACAATTTTTTCACATGCGTATTTTTTACACGTAACACAAGCTTTATTGAACCGTTTCATTTATTACAAAATATACAATTTTTTATATGAAGTTTATCTTCGACAATTTGATGAATTGGTATTGTATCCCCAAAAGGATTTTGTTATGGACTACAATTTTTCTTTTCTTTTCTTTTATTCTCTCTATTCTCTGTTCGAATTCGAATTATTTAATTGATTAGAACTAATCAAACATTCCTCTGCTTTCATTCGGGGGGAAGAAAGAAAAGACAAAAAAAAGAAAAAAGAAAAAAAAGAAGGAATATCAAGATTCCAAAGAGAGTAAAACAAAATGCTAAATTGCCATAAAAGGTGTGATTCCCTTCCTCACTTGATATCGACCTAACTAACGGTCACCATTTTGTTTATAAATTTAATTTAAAATAATTTATTTACATATCTCATGGGTAGATTGAATTCTTTCATTTTTCGTCAAATATTTAGACATCTAAATTTTGGTAAGTAGGTGACAATGAAACTTGAACTATCTTATAATATTTAAATAATTATTTTGAAAACGTAAGTATTAAATATATGAGAAATTTATTTATACGATATTTTTTAATTTTGTAGTAAATCATCTCTCATGGATCGCATACACACATTCTTTTGTCATGTCTCTTACCTTTTACAAGTGTGATAGCCATATCCTTAACTTTTTATTTGTTACAATCATGTCCCTAACTTTTAACATTATCCATGCAATATCTTCACCTGATTTTCGACCTATAGTGTAAAATTGTCCAAAAATTATTTCCTCTGTTTTAAAGACCAAATCGTCCATTTGACTTACCTCTAGAACTCTCCTCAATCAAAATAAAATGCTTTCTTGAAACCCCTTCTTCCATCTTCACATTCTTACCTGTAGGAAAGGTTTCAGTTTCACGACGTGACACTCATGTTTGGTGTTGTATCCTCACAAGGGTTTTGTTCTGGAGAAGTCAGATTACCAACATATTTTCTATTTGTTTTATTTACCTATTTTTTTCAAAAACAAATAAAATTCTTCTTCATATTACCAAAGTGTAATGTTGTAGTTAATTAGATTGAGGTGGAAAACGATGATGGCCATTTAACACAGAATAATGCTATTCATTTATGATCTAATGATATGTCGTTCCATAAAATGGACTATGCTTGTCGTACACTCTTAACATGAGGCCCTCTCATATGAGAGAGGTGTAAGCTTATATAATAAAAATTGCTCCACAAGCAGATTTACTCTCCATAAATTATGCATTTCAACTACATTGAATAAATATCATTATTCATGTACAAATACGTATGTCGTCATGTTGAGATAACGATACATATGAATTTCACGTTTGCTAGAGATCCAGGAATATTTACACAAGTAAAAAAAAAGAAAAAAGAAAAAAAAAAGTAGTGGGTGTGTGTATTCATGTGTGAGAGATCACGGTCTTAGGTCCAACTGTCANTAAAAAAAAAGAAAAAAGAAAAAAAAAAGTAGTGGGTGTGTGTATTCATGTGTGAGAGATCACGGTCTTAGGTCCAACTGTCACTCTCGTGAACGCAGCATGGCACTGAGTTCACTTCCTGTGCTTCGTCTTGTTTCTTTAGTGTTCACTTTATAAAAATCCCACCCCGCACCCACCGCACCCCACGCCACCCCAGTTCGCGGCCTGCTCCCATTCCTTCTTTATTCCAGACACTCGTACTCCAATAAAATATCTTCTATAGTACGCGATACATATATACTATTGTTTCCTAAATATAAATATAAAAGAAGTGTGACCCTTTGTTTCATTTATACTCTCTCCCTTGTTTTCCCAATAAGCCTTTATAGCCAATCTTCTGGGACAGGTAACTGATGCTTTTAATTGGGCGCATTCAGATTTTAACTCAAATCTTGATGGGTTTTTGTGTTCATCATTAATATATCTCATTGTTCGGTGCTTTAGGTAATTTAGCATTGCAATTCTATCTGAACTATATCAATAACCAACCTTTTGGGATCAACTTTTCTGGGCTATTTATTCCAATTATGTGTAAAAAAGTCAAAATTTTGAGTGCTTTGTAATTCAGGGCAGTGATTTTTTGGTCCGAGATTCTATTCTTTTTTTTTTTCCACGAGTTTTTTCCCGTACTGATTGGTTGAAGATGATTCATATTTGTCTTGTTTATGTTATGCTTTTACAAGTAAGATTTTGCTCATACTTCTGCTACGGCTTCATGATTTTATTCTTCAACACTGGGAATTCCAAATTTGTTTTCATTTTTAATGCATAAAATCTTACTCATAATCAAATGCTTTTGCTAGATTTCAGGAAATCTCATTCTTGTCCAATTCAATACTTGGTGAAAATGGTGAATCTGGGGTTGATTCGTGGGAGCAAGAGTTCAAATTCAGTTATTGTGAGCTTTAAATTACCTTATTATACCCACTGGGGGCAACACCTTCTGGTCTGTGGTTCAGAACCAGTGCTCGGGTCTTGGAATGTGAAGAAAGGCCTTCTTTTGAAGCCTGTTCATCAAGGGGATGAACTCATATGGTCTGGAAGTCTGAATGTTCCAAATGGATTTGGATGTGAGTACAGCTATTATGTTGTGGATGATGGCAGGAATATTCTAAGATGGGAGGCTGGAAAGAAGAGAAAACTGATATTACCTAATGGCGTTCAGGATGGGGAGTTTGTGGAACTTCATGACCTTTGGCAGGTACTTATTTTTGCCTCTCTCTATCAGTCTCTCTTTGCGTGTGTGGATGTGGGTGTATTAGGTTTCATGTTATGATTCCACCGCAGAGGAGTTCTTTTTGTTTCTGATGTTGTGGAGATACTACTGAAAACATAATATTTACTTCAACAAGGGGATAATTTATTCTTGAATATGACCGCGTCAGAGAATGATCTATTTTTATTAACTTTCTCATGGTATGATTCAAGAAACTATTTAGAGTAACAATTTTCGAGTATTTAATGTGGTTACAACTATATAAGAAGCATGTCGGCTAATTCTCAGATCGAGAAAAATAAATTAGGCCTGAAAAGAATACTTTTAGAAGCACCCTGGCTGTAAAACTTTTTCTTTTTCCTTCTACAGGAAGTAGGGAGGACCATATTTGGTGGTGAGTTATTTTCCTTTACGTTCTACCACTATGCCCTTCCGTTGTAGGCTTGCAGCATAAATGATTAAATTTGCAATCAAATTCTTAAGTTAATGCTATCAATTTAGATTATGTTGTCAACATAATCACGTTGTTTCCAGCAATTTGATCTGACTATGATAAACACCATTGTTTTTAATTGTAAGAAACATCATTCTGAAAGAAAGGTAAAAAGAAAAAATAAAGTAGTAGAAAGCATAGATAGAATCAATATTTTATGCTTTCCCCTTGTTTAGTATCCATAGTCATTTCTCATGATAAGGCCCTGAACTATAAAAATTTACCCCTTCCCCTCACCCTTGAAAAAAATATGTATAATTGAAGTGGTCCAAGTTAATAGCTTGTGATTGACATGGTGGTATGAACCACAAAAATGACAAGTTCATCAGATTGCAATCAGATGTCAGTTAAGAGTGTATTTCCTGCAATTTTGAATTTTTATCATGTTGCTTAAATTCTTATTAATTCAAAACTCACGAGGAATGATGATTTGCAATGACATTAACAGTTGGTGCTTAAATTTATCTGTTGTTGGCTGTTATCCTGCTTATTCATGATAAGAAGCTGGAGGCTGAATTTAAGTTGTATTCATGCAGACTGGTTCTGATGATCTCCCTTTCAGAAGTGCATTTAAAAACGTAATCTTCCGTGGGAGTTGGAACTTAGACGTGGAGAAACCCCTGGCTGAAATTCAGAATCAATTGAATCAGGAAGGTAATTTTGTTCTCTTAATTTACAAATATCTTCATCTTTTTGATTTGATCGTATTAGAAATGAGAGCGATTTCCGAACATTTACTTTGTAGACAAATGTGATAAACAGATTCAGTCATTGTACAATTCAGAATTTGCTGCCCGAATATTGAAGAGAAA